GATCCTCCCCAAAAAGAAGATTAACCAACCCCTGACAGAGAAGTAATCTCTCTGAAAACATTGACTATTATCATTTCAACATGCTGCTTCTCAACGCAGCGAACTGCCTCTCTGGTATGCTTAATTGCAGTGTGTGGGACTCACAATGCTCCTTTAGGTATGCTAAATGGAAAGCCTTGGCTACTGAAGGCGTTCCAACATTGTAAAAGTGCAACAATGGATCTTTGGAGTTCAGAAATTCAAGCATAGATTTCAGATCGCACGGAGGGTTTGAGATCATAAATATGTTGGAACTGTAAGTTTGGTGAAGATGGATTCATGAGAACCGGAGCTCCATTCCCAACAAACTATAATTGGTCCCATTGTTGCCTGTGAATGTTGTCATGAGATAACATTCCACCCATCTGACCTCTTACGGTTGGTTCATTTAATTACTTATCTGTGTTCTGCACCAGGCTTTCAAGCTGCTGCTGATTCGGAAACCTTCAGCTTTTCTCTCAAAGCTGGGTTTCCAGTTCAGTCATGAGCATTTTCTTTTATTGTGGGGGAAAATTTCAAATCGACTGATCAATGGCACCTCAACCAAAAACAAGTGGACAGAGACTGAAGAACTCTGTGGAGCTCCTTCGGTGACAGACTGTTGCATACGATGTGCACAAAGGAGCATTTTAGGAGATCCTTCCTTTGAGTAGATGTAAAACTTTATAACCATAAATGTTCCCAGTAAGTGTTTACAAGCATTTCCACTGTTGTTTTTAGTTTTTACACATTTTAAAATGGAACTCAATCAATCAAGTTTCAGTCAAGTTTATTTTTATAGCACATTTCAGCAACAAGGCAGTTCAAAGTGCTTTATATCTTAACAACACACAAAAAAATACAAAGTCGTAGACAATAATTGTCAAGTGTCATCATTACACATTATATTATGTTTCAAAAGCAACTCTAAGCCGGTGGGCTTTTAGTCTGGATATAAATGTACTCAGTGTTTTGGCTGTTTTGCAGTTTTCTGTGAGTTTGTTCTGTTTCTGGAGAATTTGGCAGTTGATAACTAACATCGAAATCAACTTTTTTATGCTAATAAACTGTCTAAATAAGTTGTTTAGGATTCTGTCTTTTTTGTGTAATTTTTTTCAATTCCTTCAATATTTTGCTTTATGGCTGCAGGATAGCCATAAAGCTGTCCTGCAGTGTGCATGCTTCTGAGCTTCTGCCACTCAGCTCCTTCAGACTAGCTAGCAGCAATTAGCAAACACTCTTCGGAACAGCTCAGTATGAGAGTTTCTTCTCAGCTGGTAAAAATGTTGCTAAAGGGTTAATAAAAGACCCATGTTGTGATGATTTCCTGAAGGTGGAGTTTCAGAAAGAGCACTGGTTTCTTAAAGAGACAGAGGTCCAATTTCAAGGTGTTAAATTACAAAGTCAAATTTGTTTATTGTCATATTTCATATTTTTATACCTGAAGGTGACATAGTTACTTGATTGTGCTATAAAATCAAACTATGTGCCTTCAAAATATGCAATACTGCTACTTCAAGAAATTCTTGATGGTATTTATCAATACTTTCTGCCACAACCTGCTCTTTAAAGACATTTTTGATCTTGATGTGGCCTGAAATGAAAAAGAGTTTGACACCTCTGCTGTACAGTATTTTTATTTTATTCTTTATTCTGTTTTCATATATTTTAATGTAAACCTACTTGCTTTGACTTGCTTTCTATTTCTTTTTAATATGACACATATCGGCCACAGTTCATTGCACCTGAATAGGCAAGCATCTCTCTGACCGCGGGTCAATGAGTGACCAGAGCTGAGCAGGAATTTGTGTGCAAAGATTGGCTAGCCTCATAAAACCAGAGCCATCCATAATCACCCTGGCAGTTTCCACACCGGCCGTCCGTCACTCTGCGCCTGCGATTATCCTGCCGGCGCGCTCAGTCACACCGTTCTCTGACGCAAACCATCATTCAAATTATTTTTAGCGTTAAAGTCCAGGCGCAGGAATTGGTAATCCAAGGAGTGACATCTGGCCTTCAGGGCTTATGTGATTAGCAGAGAGCCTTGACCCTAATAGCCTTGCGGACGTTCTTCACTGCTTCTCTGGAGGAGTCAGACGGCGCTGCGCAGACGTGTCGATTTCACGGAAAGAACCGACAGAAAGCAGGAAGAAGAAGGTCTAATTTAAAGCGCCTTCATTTCTAAAGCACCTTCAGTCCTGATAACCACTAACGGCTGGAGTCAAACTGCAAAAATACAAATTCTTTTCAAATATGCTGGTGTAAATATCTTAGTAAATTTGATTCAGATTCACTTTATTTTGGTAAATAAAATATAATTTATAAATCTATATTTTAGGGCTCTTAAAGCTCACCAAAAAGCAGATAATTTGAGTTCATCATTGAATTCATTCCACATTTTCACACCAATAACAGAAACACATCTAGACTTTACTTTTCTCTTTATCATGTTCAAATATTAACAAAACTCATGAATTATATTTACTCTGTCTTAACTTTAATAGCTTCTAAATTCCAGAAAGATTATTTCAAAGCTTTATGCATTATTTCTAGTATTTTTGTCACTAAATTTTAAATGATTACTTTGAATAAAACGTTTATCAGTTGGTTCATGAGATCACACTTTATTTATAAGCCTAATACCTTTTTTTTGTAACTAATATGTTGTTTATCTAATATGTTATATAATATGTTGTTTTATTTGCATTTCCTCATATTTATGAGCAAGATGACAAGAAGATAACCAAGAAAAGGCTTCTTGGTTATTTACCAAGAAAATATTTATTAAATATTTTATTTTCTGCAATATTCCTATTTTATTTCTAATATATTCAATATGAGGCATCCAACTTTTGCTGTCTAAACATTTTCTTTTCTAAAATCTATGAGAAATATGAACTTTCAAGTAACTTTTCAGCAAGATACAGGAGCTTGTTTTAAGTTAATGTTTTAATATTGATTTTAAAAAGTACTAGTTCCACGAGCAGATTTTTATTTTTTTTACTTATAACAATACTTTTTTCACATGTTGTAAGTGGAACTAGAACCTTTTCATCAATATTAAAGAATTATTGACTTTAAACAAAACTCCTATAAGTTGCTGGAAAGTTACCTGTAAGTTAGTTTTGCACTAGAAAAATACTTGGTGTAAATGTTTTTTGCAGTGTGGGCCAAACTATAAATAAAAAATTCAAAATGCAGGAAGAAGAGAGGTCAGCAGTGGCAAAATAAAACAATTGAATCAAAGTGTAGAGGAGGGCAGCAGCTTCCTGCTCAATTAATCATCATCAACAGTGAAAGGCTGAAAATGACCTCCTCTGGCGGCACAATGGAGCCCAACTCATACAACTGTTGTCCTATTTTGGAAGAACTATGGCTGTTTAATTATTTTTGAAAACAAAAAAGGTTCCCAGCAGCTAATTTCACCTCCAGAAAACAGAGTTTGAAGGCTATTTACTTGAGTATTGTGGGAACAGGGGAGAAACTCTTCATTTCAGGTCTCCATGTTGAATCCTTGGATAATCGTTTTTGTGTTGTAATAATAATTTCTGTGTTACAAAGGAGTCTGTTTGCAGAAAACAGAGTGAGATAAAGGAAGGGACTATTTTGGGCAGCAGTTTGCTTGGAGAAGCTTTTGCTTATTCTGAGGCAACTAGTTCCCAGGAGTTCAGCCTCGCTGCTCGCTTCTGCTTTTGTTTTGCTGTTTTCAGGATCTCTTGCTTGTGCAGGAGTTCAGTGGCCCTTCTTCTTGTTTTTATAGTTTCTTTCTCCACCTCCTCTTAAGTGAGTAATTGTGTACCAATAATTGCCTCTGCAGGTTTGGGGAGGATCAGGAAAACACGATTCCTTCAAAGCTGCATTTGTCAAACCTGTTTTTTCTGGTTTTATTTTGTGTTGCTGAGCTTCAGTGGAATGTCCAATAAAAAGCTGCTCTTGTAGTTTTCACACGTCTGTAGATGGGAACAAGGGGGAAAAGGCATTTCCTCTGCATGACCCGGTGGTTTGCATGAGCAATATGTAATCTAAATCTGCTTACTTCTTAAAGCAGCTGAGCAATCTGAAGAACTTCCTGACTTAATATTGTGTTTTTTCACTTACAAATGCCAGTATTATATGAATCTTAGTAAGAGCTTCTTGTGAACATGTTGTTGAAAAAATGGTGAAGCATAAGGGAAATAATGCAAGGTTTGTTTTTTGTTTTTGTACAAAAATCTGAAAAGTGTAGCAAGGTTGAACAGAAATGCTTGCCACACTTTTCAGATTGTTTGCTAATAATTTGGTAAAAGTAATTTATCTGCTCTTTGTGTTGATAAATTAACATTTTAAAGGGGTTTAAATACTTCGAGTGTCAAGTATTTTTATATGACTTTGATGCTTTGGAAGATTCAGTTAAATACATAAATATTTATATATCAAGTTTATTTGTGTAGCACATTTCAGCAACAAGGCATCTTAAAATGCTTAACATCATAAAAACACTAGAAAAAAATCAACAAAACTGAGAAACCAGAGACAAACATTACATTTTGTCGAGTGCCATCATCAAAATCATCAACACATATGATATATGTGTTGGTCAGTGTTTCATAGATTATTAATCAAAAGCAACGGTGGGTTCTTAATTCAAAGCCACTCAGTTTTTCAGTTTTCTGGAAGTTTGTTCCAGATTTATGGTGCATAGAAGCTGAATTCTTCTTCTATGCAGAAAATATATATCATATAAAATTATGCTTTCCAATGTAAGAATTTGGTGCAAGTATTTTGACCTAAGAGTATATTGAAAAACAATAGTGGGGTGGGAGTTAGAAGATTTATTCTCTTTGATTTTGTTGTTTTATTGATTTGTTTGAAATAAATGAATATTTCTGTGTTCCAGTGACCTGCTCCGACCTCAAGCTGTTTTTATTTAAAGCTCTTAGCTGCTGCTCCTGTTTCAGATTCCTAACTTCTACACTTTCATTTTCTTTCCCCTCTTTTTGCAGGTATGGCCTCGCAAGTGCAAGTGTTCTCCCCTCACACTCTCCAGTCAAGTGCCTTCTTTAGCGTAAAGAAACTGAAGGTGGAGCAGAGCTGTAACTGGGATATGACAGGGTACGGCACGCATAGCAAAGTCTACAACAGCAGCAAGAACGTGTCGGCCACTGGCGGCGCTCCTCTAGGCCTCAGCGGCTCCTCCCTGCCATACGAGCAGACCCTGATCTTCCCGGCCAGCGCCGGCCACATCGTGGTCGCCTCGGCCAGCAGCACCTCGGGGGCCGTCGGCTCTCTGCTGGGCAGCAGCAGTGGAGACAGCGGCGGCGGTAGCGGCAGCGGAGGCGGCGGCGGAGTCCACAACCTGACGCGGCGCAGTACGGTGAGCCTCCTGGACACCTACCAGCGATGCGGGCTTAAGCGCAAGAGTGAAGAGCTCGAAAACAACAGCAGCGTGCAAATCATTGAGGAGCACGGCCCACCCATGATCCAGAACGGCGGAACCAGCGGAGCCACGGCGGCCACGGCGGCCACCGCCACCTCCACGGCGACGTCCAAGAACAGCGGCTCCAACAACGAGGGCGACTACCAGCTGGTGCAGCACGAGGTGCTCTGCTCCATGACCAACACCTACGAAGTCTTGGAGTTCTTGGGGAGGGGAACCTTCGGCCAGGTGGTGAAGTGTTGGAAGAGGGGAACCAATGAGATAGTGGCCATCAAGATCCTAAAAAACCACCCATCGTACGCGCGGCAGGGTCAGATCGAGGTCAGCATCCTGGCGCGCCTTAGCACAGAGAGCGCAGACGACTACAACTTTGTGAGAGCCTACGAGTGCTTCCAGCACAAGAACCATACGTGCCTGGTGTTTGAGATGTTGGAGCAGAACCTGTATGACTTCCTCAAGCAGAACAAGTTCAGCCCGCTGCCGCTCAAGTACATCAGACCGGTGCTCCAGCAGGTCGCCACGGCGCTGATGAAGCTGAAGAGCCTGGGGCTGATCCATGCCGACCTGAAGCCGGAGAACATCATGCTGGTGGATCCTTCGCGTCAGCCCTACAGGGTCAAAGTCATTGACTTTGGTTCAGCCAGCCACGTGTCCAAAGCGGTGTGCTCCACCTACCTGCAGAGCAGATACTACAGGTAAGAGCCTCAGAGACCTGCTCTGAGATACGCTGCCTCCCAGAGGTATGCATGGTACTTCAGCTTTCTCAGCCTTTGTCACACAAGTATTTGTATTTTATTGGGCTTTTACATTATGGAGCAACACAAAGTATTCAGACAAACTATTTGCTTTGCTCTGATGCTCAGTGGATCTGATTTCAGTCAGAATTCATAAAATCTGTGTTATTAATGCTCAGCTAAAAAGTTAGCTATGCTAACTAAAGCAGTATACCAACATATTAATAATACGTTGGTATAGAATATAGCTTCCACTAAATAATATGCTGTTACTTAGTGGAAACTAACGCTAAGGCACTAGCTATAGCCATTTTGGCACGGGTTAAACAAACTTCAAAATAAGAGCATGAATATAAATGCCTAACTACTTGATGAATTGGTTCTTAACAATCTATAATCAAACCTTCAACACAGATTTCCAATTTAATCAACTGAATGTTTACAAAACAGCCAAGCAGATGAGTGCTTTAAAATGTATTGATAAAAATTTACTTAGAGGAATGTTAAGTGTTCAAAAAGCTTTCAAAGTTAGCAAAAATGCTGAAGCGCTAAGCGAGAAATTAGCTACGCTGTTAGCGCATTGGCCCATGACTGATTACCAGCGTAAATCCAGCTGATCTGTGAAGGCCTCTTCGGTCAAGCACTTTAACAATCTGAGTTGTCTGAACATTGATGAATTATTGAGAACCATTATAATCCATGTCTGTACTCAAGAAGATGCTCTACTCAGATTAGAGTATAATTCTGCAAAGTGTGTAAGTCCTGAAATTGGGTGGAGTTTCACCTTCTAGCAGGATGGTTACAACGGCCTAGTCAAAGAAAAATCCTGAGAAATCACCAGTTGTGCAAAACAGGTGGCATGTACCTTCAGATAAAGGTGAATATTAATATATGGTATGCCACACTTTTCAGATATTTTTTCTCTTTTTTCAAAATAAGCATTGCTTTGTTTCTAACTAAAAATCCAAGTTGTTGAAAAGGTCCAGGGGGTGCGAACACTTTTGCATGGAGTAAAAACAATGAAGTTCTAAATCTATCTGGAGAAGATGCAGAAAAGAACAAATGTTAGTTCATTTCTTCCTCATGGTTGCGTGTATATTGTTTTTTGTTTAATGGGAATGTTTTCGTTGTTGGGCTGATTAATAACCATCTAGAATTGCTGCTGCTGCTTAAATCGTCTCTGCATTCCAGCTTTGTGTTTTCCTCATATTTACTGCGTTTGTTAAACCCTTATTTAATCCTGAGCAGGCCAGTAAAACTCAAAGGCTTGTAAAGTGGCCAGCTGCTTATTGTGTTTAATGAGATAAAACAAGCATGTTTTGGTGCTACTTTGATGATTATGGAGGTCCTGCTCAGCTTTCTCACGTCTCGCTCAGCCTCTCGTAAAGACGCAGCAGACCACAGGGAATTTATGAAGCAGTGACTTTGTTTGGTTCCAGAGAGAAGTTTGTGTTAAAAATGGGCTTCCTGTTTGCAGTAGAGGAGAACTGAAAGGATCCCAGACAAACTCCTTCATAGAAGAAGAAGAAGAGCGCTAATACGCATATATTTGCCCTCCTGCCTTTAGATAGCCGGCCCCCACCACAGAGGAGCTCCCGTTTCCCCAGGGATAGAGTCCAGGGGTCAGGCTGAGTTCTCCCGTTATATGTGTTTGTAATCCACACCAGCGGGGCCGGCACCAGGACCAGATGACGCTCTGGGAAGACCCGGCATCCCTCTCCCAATTCATGTTTCTACCTACAGAAAAACTTTGTTTCGGTTTGAGCAAAGCCAGAGTTAAGATAGTAGATAGTTTGGGGCTCAGGTGTGGTTCTGGCTTTGATGGAAGAGCAGGTGTGTGTGAGCTGTTGCATGACACACACACACACACGCGCGCACACACACGCACACACACGCACACACACAACTGCCAGGTGTTGCTCTTCAGCTCGGCTTTGTGCTTCTTTCTGCTGGAAGAGTTTCTGTGAAGAATCGTTTGGTTGTTTCGGATGTTCATGAGTCACTTTGATGTCCTCAAAAGCAGGGTTGTCCAAAGTGTGGCTTGGGGGCCATTTCCGGGCCATTAGACTGATTTTGTGTGGCCTCTGAATGAGGTTTAAAGCTTTTCCAAATAAATCCTGCTTCTATTACTCATAATAGACTAACTTTTTTCAGTTTTCTTCAGTTGAGCCTGAAATATATGCGTAAAGTGGTTTCCTTTCTTCCAATAAGGAAGTTTTGGATCTACAGTGATTTTCATCTTCTTTTTCCACTAAAAATTTTCTTTGTTTAAATAAAATATTTCTTGCTTAGTTTATTGTTGAACAAAAAAAAAAATCTTAAAAAATGTAACATGGCTACATCTGAGGTCAAAGGTTGTAGTCAAGCTGTAATTAGTTAAACTGAAATTCTGCTTCGAACTGAAAAAATGATGTGTGTATATTTGCTCTGGAGGTCTGTCAGGTGTTGGTGGATTATAATGTTTGCTTTTTCACCTCCATTATTTATCCTTTCCCTCCCTTCTCCTCTTTCTGAAGCTAAAGCTGTCCTCCATGCAGGTGGTTCTTAACATGTTTCTGACAATTATCACCTCCATAAACCTGCAGTTCTCACACTATGGTAACATTTAGTAGAGATATGTGTAAAACCAGCACAAAAATGTAAAGCATACATGATTTCTTTCTTTCTATTTAAATCATAGATGAGTTTCTCTAGATCTTGTTGGGACATTAGTCCTTTAATTCTGGAAATTTTCTTCATTTGATAGAAGGCTGACTTTGTAATTGTCTTTATGTGACTCTGAATGTCCAGGCCTGATCACTAGTTTCCAGCTGTATAAACTGAAGCTTGTGCTGCTGATTCTTGATCGTTCCTCTTCAGCTGGAGAAAGTTATGGCACCTCCACATACTGACTTGCTGAAAGCATCTTCTGCTTTGATGGTTCAGGGTTACCTGGTGACATCTTACTGGTAACTAATCTTATTACTTGAACTGAGTTAGCAGTGGATATTAAATGAAAGGAGTCCCAGGGTTGAACCCTGAGGTACCTCGCATGCGACTTCTGTCTGCTCCTATAAAAAATGTCCTGCTGATACAAAGACTTTTGGACCAGTAATAAATGAAGAACTTGTACTTATTTGCTTTGGAACTGTAGTTGGTTTCTTTTGAAAGCAATAAAAGAAAGAAAAACCCTCCTTAATAATTCCACCTCATTATTTTTTGGAGGATGTAATTTAGTTATGACTCCATTCTTACCCAGAAAGTAAAAAATGTAAATCTTTGAAATAGGAATGATTGCCTTGCATATAAAGTAGTTCTCTGGATTTGCTGTTGTTGGCTTCAGTTAGTTTTTGTTTTTGATGAGTCAATTTGTTGGAATTTATCTTGAAAAAAATAATTCATACCACTAAATGCAACCAGTTTGGGAATCATGACTTCATGGATTTTTTTTACATGCAATATTTTCTCTTATAATTAAGAGTCATTTGAGCAAATATACTCTGCACATTAAGAACTGACATTTTAAAAACTCAAAGCAATCCTCCTTTAGTTCAGTCAGTCGTTGCCTTTGATTTTAATGACAGACAATTTTCACAAAGATAACATAGACTCACAGATTGAAACAATTCCCACAAGCAGTTTAATCAATTAACTAATCCAAACGAACTTAAATGAACTGAGTGTTTACATAAGCTATTATTTAATTTAGCTGAAATAGATTTAGAAGTTCAAAGAACAACCCAAAGGAGTTAAATCAATGATCTAATCCGAGCCTAATAAACTAACAGACGCTTACACAAGGAAGGATTTTTATACAGGATGAAATGAATGGATGTTACTAGAACAAATTAACCCTCAAATTCAATGATGTTAATATTTATTTTTAACAAAACTGGTATGATATTCTCATGGTATAACCTTAATGTAAACATACCAGTTTGTTTTAAGCTTTTTATGCCATTATATGTGCGATTATCTGAACAGAAAGGCACCAATTATTCCTTCTGCTGCTATTGATTAAAACAGTTAATCAATAGCAGGTGTTTTCAAATTTATTATCCAGCTTTTCATGCATAGACTTAAGCAAACCTCCAGAAGTAAATATCTGCTAAATTTAGTTGTAGTTTAGTTGTACTTAGTGCAGAATCCTCCTGATGTTCTTCTCTCAATAGACGAGCACAAAAATAAGAGGCTTAGCTGTTCAGTTTGTGCGTAATCAACCTGGAGTCGGTTGTTTCACTTCCAAACTGCAGTTTTACAACAACATGATCCGAAACTGAAACCAGGTGGTGCCGGTTTGGTTTGCAAACCGTGATCCTCTGTGATTTTTAAAAGCACTGAACAAACAAACCGGTTTGTCGTGAAGAAAAATGTCAGTTGTTTTGCTCTGCACAGCAGTTGGCGCCGTGGCAGTCATGACCTCTGCTGTGTGTTTGTCACATTATTTTATTTATTTGTAGTTGGCAACAGGACAGTGCGGCGTCCTGTTTCAGGCAGCTGACAGTCAGTGAGCAGCAACAGAATCAAGTCCCGTTCCTTCCTCTTTAAACCATAGTGGGAAACATTTTAATAGTTTTGAAGTCGAAACTATTTAAAATTGCAAGATGAAACAGAAGCACATTGAGGTCAGGATTGAAATGATTAATTGCATTAATCATGATTAATTGATTATTGAAATAATTGTCAACTAAGTTAGTAATCGATTATTTGAATATACGGACACAAAAAAGGCCATCTGCTGAAAAAACCTCTTTATTGCCGTAATTAAACAGAAACATTACATTTTGCAGTTGAGGCAAAGGAGATAAAATCGCCTTTGCCTGTAAATTTGTTTTATCTTTTCTCAGTTCAGATTCGATAATAGAATATATAATAAATATATTGTTAATATAACAATAAAATATGTATTTTATTTCCAAAATAATTGAACTACTTATTCATATTTATCTTTTACTGTATTTCTAATATGGTATAAAAATGCT